CTAAATGCACCACACCGATGGCTCGGGCGACATGCGGAGCTCGTACTTGCTGTTAACGAGCATGACAGGTCCGCTCTCCTTTGTCTCCAGCGTCACCGGCACGCGCAGCTCGTTAACAACAAACTCGGAAGACTCACTGGCGCGTGGAATCACGGCGTGCGCCGTGTCGATGCCCGAGAGAAGACTCATGCGCAGCCGCTCGATGAGCTCGCCGTTGCAGTAGCAAAGCACGAAGCAGTCGGTGCCCCGTAGACTGATCGTCGGACAACGCTTGAGCCGCGGGTTCAAGTCCATGGCTCGGTATAGGGTACCACCGCGCGGAGGGAGCTTGGGGCGATACGAAGGACTCGTGCAACTCGAAACACGGCGGCGTTCTTGATACTGTTGAAGCGAACAGAGCTGTAGCGCTCGATGCCATGCAATCGTCGACGACGTTGTCCTAGCATATCATGAAGCAATCCGGTGGTTCGAGCCTGCCTACCCATCATCAAGCCGTACGTGACGGGGTTGCTGAGAGTAGAGACTGTATACGCCACGCCACACAGCAGATCGCTCCCTCAATCGCTTGGTTTTGCAAGGCCGTGGGCACAACACAGGAGAAGAGCCATTGGTAGAAGTGAGCCAATAGCCCAACGTTGCTCGAATCAAATGAGATGAATGGACCATACATGGCCACGCTGACGGCCACTAGCGTCGGGTCGACTACCTTGAAAGCATGTTGTTTCTTCCAGCGCTTGAGTACATACGAAACAAGGCAGACATCCCAGTACGCAAACCACACCTAATATCAAGTTCATTGAATGTTGCCACTGAATATGGCAAGACAAATACCGAGCGCGCGAGGTAGAGGACACCTTGCAGCATTAGCCAAGTGTCACCGCTGACCTGAATTTGCATCGTGGCGGTACCAAACATGGTCGAATGCGTCCAAATATCGAGGTAGTAGAGAGAGGCGACCCACGCGTCCATAAGCACAATGGCCATCAGATCGCCCAGCACAATCTCGTACGACCAGTCGCCCGGTGGCATCTTGAGTCGGTGGCCGAACCGACAAAACCGCGCCTCGAGCTCCAAGCAGTGGCGGTAGTAGTGGACGTAGAGACGGTACCACACAAAGAGCGTTGTCCCAAGGCGATAGACAAACACAAGCCACACAAGGACCGGGGTTTGAAGCTCGGCCGAGGTAAAGTAGAGCGTTTACAACCTTATTCGCCTTGTCGGTGGGATTCGAGAAGACGTCGCCAGGATCGAGCCAGAGACACGCTCGGCCATACACGTACGTGAACAAGCGTGGATGGTAGCAGGATTCATTGGTTGCTTGGGGAGCTGTCACATTGTTGAGCAGATGCTTTGCATGTAGATGCTTTGCATGTAGATGCTTTGCATGTGGGCACTCATGAAAAAAGCGAGGCAAGAGAGTCCCAGAAGCGAGGTAGAGACACAGTCCTCCAAGCTCATCGGCTGCGCATGCAACGGGAGGACGGCGCAAACGACTTGGGCGTTGTTGGCCTCATCGAGAAGGAACGTGGTGCCCACTGGTAACGTACTGGTAACGTGGCGTTGGAGTAGAGTATATTGACGTTGGCCTGGCTAGATCTGACGAAGCTCTGTTTGAACTATTTTTTAACTCGATTCAGTCGGTTACTCTCGAATCAGATTGGCCGGCCCGAGAGTTGTCACAGTTGTCTGGTGCTAGTATACCCCAAGGCTCAACGCAAAAAGCAACACGCATGCAAACAGAGACATTCTATTGAGTTGTTTAAATTAATGGGTTGGTGACGTGACGATGGACTCGGTCGCGATGAGTAGAGCTTCCAGCCGCGCTTCGAGTTGGAGTGCCGTCGGTCGATCGTCAGGCGAAAACGCAATGCACTCGAGCGCCATCTCTCGCAGCCAGTCGGGACACGACTCGGAGAGCGTCGGTTTGATCTTGCCTTGCATGACCTAAGGCGACAAAGCGTTGATTTGATTGCATCAACATTGCGGCGCCGTACCTTGTACATGATGGTAAAATTGCCAAGGGCCTGGCCCCGGTCGTTGACCATGTCGGCGTACGGCACTGCGTGCGTATCGAGCTCGGTTAAAATCTAAGCATCAAGATCCAACTCCAATCTCAAAAAATAGGGATTGGTGTACCATGCCAAACGAGTAAATGTCGGCTTTGGTGTCGTAGTGCTTGCCCTTGAGCACCTCGGGGGCCGTCCAGCGGTACGTACCAACCGCGTTGGTCATGCTCTCGTCAGTCGCATCGCGCGCGATACCAAAGTCCCCGAGCTTGGCCTCCAGCGCCGCCGTTAGCATGACGTTGCGCGACTTCAAATCCCGGTGGATCACCTATCATACATGTTCGTACACCGGTGTCCACCTATTCATGAATAGAGATAGCGTACGTTTTGGTTGTGGAGGTAGACGAGGCCCCGGGTCATGTCCCGCGCGCTGCGAATCTTGTCGGCCCACGGAAACAGCACTTCCTTGTCCTCGGTCGTCGCTTCGAGGTACGTTTGCAAGTCGCCTTTCTCCATGTACTCGACGACGCACTTCATATCGGCGAGGTGCGTCCACGAAGCGCCGACAAACTGCACCAAGAACGGACTGTCAAAGCTACCGACTGCGATAAGAACGTAGTGGCGAGAGGCCAAGTGACGCACCGCGACATGAGCTCAATCTCCTGGATGAACGTTTCAATGTTCTTGATGGTCGCGTTGTCTTCGCGCAGCCGCTTGACGGCCACGAGCCGGCCGTTGTACTCGCCGAGGACCACTTCGCCGTACGCGCCACGGCCGAGGATCGTGTCGAGCAGCTTGACGTCCGTGTTGAGGCGGTGCGGTGTCAGCGAGGTCGTCACGGACGCCTCAATGGAGCTAAGGAACTTGAGCTGCTCTTCTTTATCGGACGAGAGTTCGACGAGCGCCGCAAAGTTGTTGTCAATCATCGAGCGCGACAGCTTGTGCCGGCGCACGCGCATGACGACGTACACGATGCAGCCCATGACAAAGGCGCTACCGAGGCACACACCAATGATCATCGCGGCGGTCCACGATTTCCCTATACGTAGTTTAGACAACTTGTCCACAATCGATCGATCGACGGACCCACAACGCACGCACTAAAGCTATCTTGGCGCGACGAGGCGGTTCGGAGCTCGCCCATTTCACACACGGACGTGCCTTGCGCCGACACGAACGTGACGTTGCCCGCTTGCAGCGACCGGAACGTCGCGTCGTCTACCGTCAGCGTCGCGAGGCTTTTGCCTTCGAGGATCCTAATGACACTATCAAATTGTCCTTCAAGGACACTGGAGGTATCGTACAGCGTGATGTTGTCGTGGCTGTCGATGCTATTAAGTGTGATCTTGCGCAGCGCGTTGCTTGAAAAATCCCTACAAAGACTTTTGGCTCGGATTGGCTGTCGAGGGGTAGTAGTAAGTACAGGAAGCGCGCGTGGTTGAAGTCCTTCAGATCCAGCGTGCGCATCCGGTTGTTGCACATGACTCTACATCGCAGGATGATGCGACTTGAGGCATACGATGGGACGACGTACAGCTCCCGCGACGACGGAATTCCCTCAAACGTCTCGATGCTGTTGTCGGAGAAGTCCCTACTCCAGCGTTTGAGGTTGCACAATATTGCATGACAATAGTGTACAAAAAATCGAGGTTCTTGGGCCAGTTGCCGGTCGCGTCTTCGCGAAAGGACATGAGTTTGTTGCCCCGAAGCGACCTAATGGCAACGAATGACGTGAGCGCGTCACGTAACTATTTCCGTGACGTACAGCCGCTTGAGGGACGATGGCCACGGGTACGCGTCGCTCATCGCACCCCAGCCGCAGTTGACGCACTCGCTACAAACACACACATCTCCATTTAGCAACCATGCGCTTCAAGTGCGCGCGTACAAGGACGTGAGTGCGGGCAGCGGCGGCGCGTTTGTTGCGAGGTTGCTCCACGTAATGTTGACGAGCTTGAGGTTCTCAAGCGTTGAGACGCTTGTCGCGTTCAAGAACGACACGTTGGCGTTGCGGATCGTGCTAGACAATATTGTCCATCAAAAGACAATATTCGTGATGCTGTCGTACAGTGAGTGGATGTTGGGAAACGAGAGAACCGCAAGCGAAAAGCTCGGTTTGCCTTGAAAATCCATCGTCTCGTCGCGGCCAAAGAAGGGTTCAACCTCGCGGCACTGCGCGTCGACGAGGCAGAACTCGGCGCCTTTGGAGAGGCAGTTGGTGCTCGTCAGTGCCTGCGTCGCGTTGGGAAAGCACGTGGGCACGACCACGAGGTTGCCGGGGTCTAGACCAATACGAAAAATGAGAAATAAGATCCATAAGAAATGAGAGACGCACTGGGAACGATGCTGCTGGGCACGACGCAGATGCCCGTCGAGAGGAAGTTGGGCAGCGTCTGGAGCACCGTGTTGCGCGCTTCGCAGTCGGCCGCGAGGGACGTTGCACTCGGGAGCGCTTTGGCGTTTTGAAGCGTCGTGAGCGACGCGGCGTCGGTTTGAAAGATTGAAATGTTGCAGTTGGCGCATCGACTAGACAGGCCATTAGAACCCCACCGATGGAAACAAATTGTACGTACAAGCTAAACTGGTTGCGCGGCGACCCGACATTGTAGACCGTCACGACCGGGTTGTTGTCGAGGATCCTAGTGCAGGATGCATGAGCCAACATCTCAGAGCAAGCGACGACGCACAGCGACGTGGCGTTTTCAAAGGCCGTCGTGCGCACGAGCTTGATCCAGTTGTCCGAGAGGTCGCTACGTGCGGTGAGCGAAGGAATACCAGCCGTACGTACAGGATCTCGGCGGGCGGAAAGTCTTCAAACTGACGAACTGCGTTGTAGCGACCCGAGCTACACGACCGATTCTGCGTGAGCCATACCGTGAGCCTAACTCGGCCGTCCTACAAGGTCTCAAGCGGCGTGACCGAGCCCGACCGGTTGTAGTAGGACTCTGTGAGGCTGCTGAACGACACGACTTCAGAGCCCTCGACGGCCCTAACGCACCGTCAAATAGGCGCGTCAACTTTGCGCCTTACAAGTGCTTGAGCTGCGGTGGCCAGTAGCGAATGCGGAACTGGTCGAGGTTGGACGTGCCGTTGAGCATTCTCCTAGGTACCATGGCATATATGAGGCCTTTTCACTGGCTTAGTAGCTCGTACAGCGTCGTGAGTTCGTAGGGCAAGTAGACGTCCCCCATAATGTACGGGTTGTCGACCAAGGTCCTACAAGATGTTACAACATTGCTAAATTGAAGATGTAGCCACGCACAAGTTGGCAACGAGCGCCATCTCAACGCGGTAGACTGATGAAATGTTGAACGAAGTCGGCGCCGACGTCGTCGTCGGCAGCTGCGAGAGCGGCAGGCCAATGCGGACGAGGCCGTTGCTGCGGAACGTCCTACGCACCGATGAGAGGTCGGCAACGATAGGAGGCGCGCAGTACAAGGTGGTCATGTTGGGCAGGTTCTCAATCAAGTCGATGTGGTCGTCAATCTCGAGCTCACGCACAGACGATTCGAAGACTTTGGTGCGCTGGCACTTGCTGTCGACGAGACAGGCGGTCGAGGGCGGGCAGAATGGCGTGTCGAACGAGAACGTCGACGAGTACGCGCCAAAGGGGCACGTCGTGGACCAGTCGACCATCGGCGATATGGCCGTCGGGACCGCCGGCGTGACGACGGCCGGGAGGCGGGTTGTACTCATGGCGGCAATTCCAAATGGGCGCGCCGGGTTTATTCACGCGCTGTCGAGCTTGCACTTTGTATGGCGCCTGCGAAACACACGATTACACACTCTGCAACACGCCGCGCTGTACACTGTATGGTTATCCGTATACACATCCGGATAAAACATCAAATTGCCAAAGGTAGTACCCTCCAAGATTATACCGTGCAACCTATATGCCAGTGTGACGTCGCGGCCACCAAGAAGGATATGCTTGCTTCCCAGGTGCGTTAGTCTCTATCACCAACTAACTAAAAGCCCAAGCAAAGCCATGGGCAGGACACAAGCTACAACTATTATACCTACTAGAAGAGTCAAGTCGAGTCGACGGACAACGAGGACTTCTGCAGCTGCTTGAAGTGCCCCAATCCGCAAGCCCAATCTGATCGGCAGCACGACTCGGCCGTGCCAACGCAACTGCGTCCTGCCGGTCGCACGTGGCAGCAGCTCCTCAACGTCAATAATGTCCTATGGCGACACAATAGCAATTTAGTAATACGCTTTTGGACTATATTAATTATGTTACGAGTTGGCTGCTGTAGTGTAGTTAGTGCTGTAAATTAACCATAATTCCTCGTGACTTCGGCCAGCCGCTGTGCGAGGATCGCGGGTGAGTTGTGCTTGTTGACGAGGTACACGAACCGAACGTCTTCGAAGCGCGACGAGGTCGGGTGCGTCCACGACCGCAGCAAGCCGGCGACGTCGCGGACGAGGAGCCCGGCCTCCTCCATCGCACACACTTGGACGTACATTTCTTCGCGGAGGCAAAAGTGCATGTCGTACTCCAACGTGACTTCTTGCGCGGGCGGCGCGGGCAGGTGCTGGATCGCGGCCTTGGCCGGCGACTGGTGCGTCGTCGTGATGGTTTGGCTTGCGACGACGCGGAGGATGTCAAACGCGCTCTGGTTCTTCTCCTTGTTGGTCACTGACGCAAGCGACGGCAGCGTCTTCTTCGTGACGAGCATCGGGGGCGGCGACTGCGTTGGCAGCTCAGTCTCGGCAAATTGCGGCGAGTTGAGGAGCTTGGAGAGCAAGATGAGCGACCCCTTGCCCTTCTTGACGCACGGCTTGAGAAGCTGTTCGTCGGGCGTCGGTTGACAGTCGTCTTCGTCTTCCGGCTCGATGCTGCGAGGTTTCGACTTGAGAGACGTAGGCTGCTTGCGCCGGCTGCTGCTGACCACGACCACCTTGGGATCGTCGGTCGACGTCGCCGCGTCATCTTCAATGTCGTGGTCCGAGTCGCTCGATACCTCGAAGATCGGCTTGGGCTTGGGCGCGATCGGCCGGAACGTATCGTGGCTGCTGCCGCGGTCGTCGGACCGGCTGCGCTTGCGTGGCGCGACCTTCTCGAGGTCCAGTGGCCGCTTCGTGTCGGGCTTGGCTTTGGTCGGTTCGTCGCGCTTCTTGGCAGCCTTCTTGGCCGTTGTCGTCGTCGTTGCCGTCGTCGTTGTCGGCGCATCGTCGCCGGCTGCTTTGGTCGTTTTCTTTACTGGCTCGTCCTTCTTGGCCGGTGCCTTCTTGGTCGTCGCTGTGAGCAGAGGTTCCTTACCAGCGTCCTCGCTTGCAACGGAGGCCTTTGTGGCTTTGGTCGTCTCGGGCTTGCTCGGCTTCGTCGTCGGCGACGTCGGCGCTGCGCGTTTCCGCGCTGGGCGGTCAGTCTCGTCGTTTTCAGCATCGGGTCGGCGGCTCGACTTGCGCGGCGGCGGCTCCTTTTCGCTGCTGCTCGTGACGGCGACGGGCGCCGAGGCCGCGCGGCGCGTTCGCGTGGTCGCTGGCGTCTCGGGCGGCGACGCCTTCGTTGCCTGTTTGCTATCCTTGATCGTCTTGAGCATCGCCTTGCGGAGCGCAATCGTTTCGCGTTCATGCTTGAGCTGCTTGAGCGACGGTCGCCCGACCTTGCGCTTGGGAAGCTCGGGCAAGACAGCCTCGTCGTCGTCTTCATCGGCGGCGGCTGCAATCGTGGGCTTTGGCCGAATCGGCTCGATGCGCTCGTGGACCTTGGGCTTGCGGTTGGCCTTGGCGTCGCCGTAGCAGCGTTCGCAGACGTAAGATGTGTGTTTGTAGCGGCCGCTGGCCTTGATGGGCGGGAGGCACGCGATGTGGAACCAGTGGTTGCAGCTGTCGCACGCGAGGCTTTCGTTGACGCGCTCGTCGTCCATCTTGTACCAGCCGTCAAACGATTTCGACCACCGGACAAAGTGGATCTTGACCGAGTCTTCGGCTTCGTTGACCTCGGTGACGATCGCGTTGTAGAGCACAAACTCAAACTCGACGAGCACGAGCTGGTTGATTTGGAGACCGACTTCTTCGTTCGCAAAGCCCTTCTTGCAGCCGCCGCAGCCGACGTTCCAGTCGTTCTCGTCGAGCTCGCAGCCCTTGCAGACAAGGCTCGAGTTCTCCGGGTGGTCTTCGTCGACGTCAATGGTCACGCCCATCTTGTCGGCGCAGCGCTTGTGGAGGCCTTGGCCGCACATATCGCAGAAGACGTGGCAGTTGGCCTTCTCGCAGTGGAGGCACGGCCGCAGCTTTTGCTTGGTCGTGATAAAGTCGCAGACCTTGCAGGCGCCGGCGCCGTCGAGGAGGTTGAACTGGCACTTGGGACACTCGTCCGAGGGGCGGCTGCGCTTGGCCGCAGAGCTCATGATGGAGCTTTCCTTCCTGGGCGGGCGTCTGCAATTTGGGAAGTGAAAACGGACCCGCAGCTGTTTGCCTTTCAAAGCCACAAACCTCTCACACTCGATACTTCCGGCCTTGAACTTTGAGTGGCCGTGTTCCGTCAACAGGGCTATATCATCTTTGGGAGGTTGTCACCCACGTCCAGTGACACGAGCTCCAAGCTGTCACATCCCGCAGTCTAAACGCACGCCATTTTCAAATGGCCAGTGTCCAATGGAGGTCGAACGAGAACACGGTCATGGATACGAAAGCCGTTCATAGGCTTGGTGACAGTGACGGCACCGTGTACGATGCGTGTGCCGCATTTGCCGATCACAAACCGGACGACGTGGCCCATGTGTTGCGTGTTGATAGACATGTCAACCCGATTTTATTTAATGGCACGCGGGCGATGTTGCATACAAACCTCAAGGTATTTGGAACGCCACCCATTAAAACACGCGAAGAACACGAGGGCAGAGATACGCGGCAGAATGGATGAGGTATCAACTTTTTTGTATGGTATACAAATGACAAGATATAAATCCGTGGCACTGGACCGGTCCACGGGCGTATTTCGAAGCTGCTAAAGAAGCTTGGTGTTTGTATAGGCTCGCGTCATAAAATAAAAAATACGACCGCCCTTCGAAATCGAATCCAATTTTTGGACGCAGTGGGATCCATCCTTCGAGATTTTGAGAAGCGGTCGCGAGCGGGCGCAGCGCCATTGCCACTTCCTCCCTCCGACCGACATGGGCCGACGAGCCAAGGCGACGAGACGTATGTGTGGGCGTAGCCAAGGCAGCGCTGTCATGCGGCGACGGGCGCCATGTCAAGACGCGTATCGACGAGCCACTGCATTGATCAACACCTGATTACGGCGCGGCGAGACGAGCTTCGATCTGCGCGAGCCGACTGCCAAGCGCCACCATGCTGGCCTCGATGCGATCGAAGCGAGCGTCGAGATGCGACTGTAGTCGGTCGAGGAGCAGCGCGAGACCAGGTCCGTCCGCGACGGCCGCGGGAGGTGGGACACGCAGCGAACTGGTCAGCGGCAAGCGACGCGATCGAATCGAACATGTCTTGAGCGTCGGCGTAAAGAAGAGGCGCGTGGGCTTGAGAGTATCCAAGACGTCAATGGCCTCGTCGCCGAGGCGCAGCCCACGCAGGACGCGGCCGTCTTCGTCTTCAGTCGGCAGCATCGTCTCGACCAGCTCGATTGCATCGTCCACGACGCGAAGAAGCACGATGGCCCCCGACGCATGCGATCCGAGCGCAGCATGACCTCGCTAATAGCATGTACATGGTACTTGTGCATCTGACAGGAAGACACGAACATGACAGTGCAGGAACGTGGGAATCGCGAACGCCGTGAGGGGCACGGAAGACACGATGGACGAGGAAGCGCTTTTCCAAATGACACAGTGGGCCTGGGCGACCAGCGCCGGCGTCGCCTACCAAGGACGTGGGCGACGCGTTCATCGCATCATGCACTTACGCTGTGCGGGCCGGCCTCTTCAGCAGGCTCATGGAGCTCCTACCAAGTTGGATAAGCATCAACGGAAAGTGGTCCAGTACATACCGGCAGCACGAGCAGCGACGAGGGCGCAGATGACTTTGTAATGTGCATGAGGTCCACGATACCGCTGCTTGCGTCGACCACTGTCGTCAATGGGTCATCACTGGGTCGGGCGCGGATGGTGAAGCCTGCAGCAGGCGTCGCCATCGTCGGTCTACGCTTCGAGTTCGTGGTTCTGTAGAGAATGCAAGCAGTATCATCGTACCGCAAGTGGGTCTTGACCTCGGTCGCCAGCAAAAAGGTGTCATCGCCGAGGCAGCCAATGGCCGTGATGGCGCCGCACGTGGCACCGTCGACGTCGCACAGGACGTCTTCCTGCGGCGGCGCGTACGGACCGATTGTCGCACTGCTCGGCCAGGAGAAGACACGGGCGCTTGTGCCGGCAGCTCTACGCGTATGAGAATCGTTCATGCATGCTAGGAAGTCGTAGCGTACATGACGAGGGCAGTGCCCGCATCGTTCCAGCACGACGATTGCTTGGCCGCGGTCGCCCAGGGCAAGGTAACCAAATCGCCATCGAGGGCCATCAAGGGCGTGAGGAACTGGACGCGGCCAAGCATGTGCACCTGTAAACATACCATCGTCATCAGTGGTTTGCGTGGCGTTGATGGAGTGCGTACCGCCAACAGCGAACGCGATGGATGCCATGTGATGTGGAGGACACGGGCCGGTGCCACCCAATGGAGGCAGCGCGTCGGAGCTCCCTGGGCGTCGTGAATCTCGACATGGCGCTGCGTCGCCATGGCCACGTACGTATCCTTGCCGTTGTTCCAGGCCATGCAGCGAAATGGGTCGCTGCTTGCGCTGTCGTCGTGCAGAAGCGTGCCAGGGCCTAGCGTCAAGCCTTCGTCGCCGGCCGTGATGGGATAGAGGCCGATGCGCGACGATGGAGGCAATGGCAGCGCAATGCGCTGGCGGCTAGCATCGTATCCTACAAGCCCTGAGCCAAGAGGCCGCAAGGTTGCGTCGTACCATCGCCGAGGAGGTTGCGATGGCCAGTCGATGGCAGGTCCAGGTCTGGCCAACTCATCGCCTCCGTTCAAGTAACCGGTTACGCTCTCCGGATAGCCATAGCTCATTGCGTGAAACGATTGAAACCGAGTTTGGGACATGGTCGTGGTCGTGACCAAGCCGTCGGACGCGGCCGTGGCCAAGCCGCTGACATGCATCCCGAAGCGGGCCTCGACGTACGTGCCAGGGCTCGCACCGTCCAGTCGTCGAGGCGTGGCCAAGCCCCATCGGCAGTCGGCGGCGGTGACGTACGAGTCGCGAAAGCTGCCCCCTCTTGCTCGCGGCGCCGAGGCCACGCCGCACCGGCCATCTTTCCTCGCGTCGTCTTGGCACAAGGTGCGCATTCGAGGCTCATTGAAGAACCTTCGGCGGTCGTTGGAGCCGCGGTCGGCCGAGCGCGCGGCAGCGCCCTCACGTCGCATGTCGCTGGGCCTCGGGCGCGTCAACCGCAAGGAAAAAATCGTCGCTCGCTTCGTGCTGCAGCTGCAGCTCGCCGTGCTCAAGAAGGCGACGGCCACGATGCACTTGCACTTGAAGGACGACCCGCACACGGCGCACGACCTCGAGACGCGCATTGGCGACTGGACGCTCGATGGCACGTTCCGCCAGCTCAATCGACGCGTATATAGTTCCTACAATCTTGGCATGGATGGAGACTCTGTCCTCTCTCTGCTAGATCTTTGCCAACGCCATGGTCGGCCTCGCTCTCGGCCTCTACGAAATGCAAATCGCATGGGACGCTGCCTTGAAGGACGGCGCGACGTAGAAAGCAATGACTTGGCGCGCTGTGACGAGGTGTTTTGTAGGCAGCGCATTGAGCTCATAGCTTCGGCCCAAGGCACGATCCTCAAGCTCGTGCTCTCGGCGTCCACGCTGCTTTTGATCAAGCAGCTGCTTACGATGTACGGGCTTCTGGTCAAAGAAGCGCACGCGATGTCGGGGTCGGCCATCTTTCCGCAGCTGCCACCGCCTTGGCCGCGCCATCTAGTGCTCCGCTTTGCGCTGGAAGTAGCTGTCGTGGCCATTCACCCTGTATTACATATTAGACTCTGGCTCGCTTGGATGGACAATATGCCACTGTAGCCACCGTTCCTTGACGCCTACATACACGAAACCGCGAGCTGCATGATGTTTCTACGGCTCTACTTGGTCGCACGCGTGCTTCGGGACCATGCGACAGTCTACCAGCGGCGGAAGGACATTGTGCAGGTAGTCGTCATATCTCAAACGCAAGTCTGGTCGAGCCGTCCGCACTAGAATCGCTTTCTGAATGCGCAGAGTCCACACTTCAACTGGTTCTTCGTCGTGCAAATCGGGTTTCGCCAGTCGCCGCTACTGGTCATCGCGTGCACCACAATTACGATCTGGGCCGCGCTCACCACGTGCATCTACGAGCTCGAGCGCGCGTACCAGCCCCACGTATTTACGCTCAAGAATGCCGCATGGTTCACCTACTCGCTCCTCACCGTCCACGTATGCACTGCAACGACGACACCATTCAAATCGCCTATCTCTAGAGCCCCGGGTTCCACCCGATCTCGTCGCGAGGTCATATCGTCGCTGGTATCTTGGTGTTGTCGGTGCAGTCGCCTCCATCTTTGTCGTCGTGCCACATGTCGTAGTAGGGACTCCTCTTTGAGACGCTCATGGTGGTCGCAGTCTTGCAGCTCATCGGTCTGGACGCTAAAGACCGCGTCTTGCTCGCCTACCTTCAAGACACAGAGACGCGAGATGCGCTCCGGCACCGCGCCCGAGGGGTCCTGAGAGCATGGCTCAGCTGGCGGCTCGCGCAACGACGTTATGGTGGAACCAAGCGCGTCGACCGCCACGAACACCAGTTCTGGCACGCCGTCGAGCGCCTCCATATCGTCAAGAACGCTCGCGAGCTTGCGGCCGAGTCGACTCCGATCGCCGACACCCTAAGCTGCGTCGAAGGTCACGTGCGGCGGATGGCGCAGACGCTTCGCGGGCCTCTCTGCCCCCGCTGCCATGGCGTTACCCTTACCAAAAGAGAGATACCCAAAACACTGCCTTCGGAGCTCCGGGAGTTGCAAGCCAACTACGACATTATTCTCGCGCAGCAGCGGGAGATGCTATCTTTGCTTCACAAGCTCTCTGCCGCGCCCTCCTGAAGATTATTGTGTCGACACGAGTACTAGTATGCACAGCAGTATATATATATTCGGTCCATGAGACTACTACAGTTGTACGTCAGCGAGGCGTGCGTCGAGGTCCGCAGCCGATGGACGCATGCTAGCGTCGTGTGCAATGCATTCAAAGACCAGTTCCCTTAGCCACGGTGCGCACGACGGCGACAACGTTGGCAGGATCGTTCCCTGCATCACCTGCAGAACGACGAGTGTGACGCGACGACCATCGAGCATCGAGCAGCGCCGTACCTTGTACATGATGGTAAAATTGCCAAGCGCTTGGCCGCGCTCGTTGGCCATGTCGGCATATGGCAGCGCATGCGTATCGAGCTCGGTGAGAATCTAATTATTCAAATAAAGCTCCAAATGTGTGCTAGGGGTAGGGTCGTACCATGCCAAACGAATAAATGTCGGCTTTTTCGTCATAGTGTTTGCCCTTGAGCACCTCGGGAGCCGTCCAGCGGTACGTGCCAACAGCGTTGGTCATGCTCTCTTCCGAGACCTCGCGCGCGATGCCAAAGTCGCCGAGCTTGGCGTCGCCGACGTCGTTCAAAAGCACGTTGCGCGACTTCAAATCCCGGTGAATCACCTACAATACGATACCATATTGGCGCACATTCGGGCAAAATTCACGGAAAATACGTTGGCGCCGTGGAGGTAGACAAGGCCGCGAAGCATCCGACGCATGCACTCGAGTTTGGCCGACCACGGAAACCGCGCAACGTCCGTGTCGTTGGTTGGCGTCGTCGCCGCCAAGTACTGCTGCAAATCCCCTTGGGCCATGTACTCGACGACGCACTTCATATCGGCGAACGTGCACCAGCTCGCACCCACAAATGCAACGAGGTACTCGCTCGAAAACCTACGACAGTCGTGTGCGTTTGCCGGTTCGATCCCAGGACCAAGGAGTAGGCGTACCGCGCCATAAGCTCGATTTCCTGAATGAGCATCTCCATGTGGGCGACCGTGTAGTTGTCGGCGCGGAGCCGCTTGACGGCCACGAGTGTGCCATTGTAGCGCCCGAGGACCACTTCCCCGTACGCACCCCGGCCAAGGACCGTCTCGAGGATCTCGACGGCCGTGTTGAGGCGATACGGCAGCAAGCCGGACGTCATCGTGGCGCCCAAATCAGCGAGCGACGACGACGTCCAGACTCGCCGGAACCGGACGGGGTCATCGTCATTCTCATGAGCAGTCGTCGCCATGGCTTTGAACGCGTCATCTTCAGACACGGCGCGTCGGTGCGACCTCCGCATGCACCAGCCAACGACCGCCACGAGGAGGACGGCACCGAGCACAATGGCGACAAAGATGCCATATGCAAAGTCATCTAGACCATCCTCAGTGTCATGGCGTAGCAAGGACGCGGTACTCTCAACGACACAGACGCCGAGGCGCGTCGTGTTGATGGCCTGGAGCTTGGAGCGGAGGCACGGCTCGGCGTGCCACGCGGTCGACGGGGCATAGATGCGAACCGTGTCCTTGACAGCAGCGTACGACACGGCGTCCAAAGTGATGTTGACAAGGCTGTCGCAGCCCTCGAGATGCCTACAAGGATACATATTGGTGCATGATTTCTCAAGATCGAAGCTCGTACAGTGCTTGGAGCCGCACCGGGTTCGCGCTGCTCGATAGAAAGAGCACTGAGATGAGCGGCGCGTTGTAGCTCAAGTCCCTACGCTTCGGTTGACAACTGCGACCGATGAAGAGCTGTACAGAGTCGTCGCGCTCTGAAAGTTGCGCATCGTAACGGTGTGCAATGCGTTGCCGCTGAGGTTCCTAGTCAGAGACGCTCGTGGACTGCGAGGCCGACCTTGGATGCGTACAGCGTTGCAGTGACGGTCGGTAGGCCCGTGAAGAGCTCGATTTGGTTGTTGGCCGCGTCACTAGAAACACCCAAGTCGCCATTGCACGGTATATCGTTTGTACAAGGTAGATAAGCGGGGCGGCCAGCGCATTGGGCTCGGAAACGAGAGGAGTTGGGTGTTCTTGAGCGTCCTAATCGCCGACTTTGAAATGTAATCCTCGTGGAGTAGAGAGTACAAGTGCTGGAGCGCATCGGGCCACGCATACGACGTCGGCAGCACCTTCCAGCCGCACGCCACACACGCGCTACAGTGGTTACTTAGCCGACAAGACCTAAGAAACGCACTTCTCACAAGGTCTCCAAGGTCCGCGGTAGCACCGACGTCTTGGGGTCCACGAGACTCCACGACGTGAAGCCTTCGAGCCGCCTAGAATCGCGTGAGACGCGTAGAACTCGACAACGAGGCGCACAAGGAGCGCAAATTAGCGTCGGCGTCGCCCACAAAGCGCACGTCCAATGCATTTCGGATCGTCCTACGATCGTCAGAGTTACGTCATGGAGGATTCTAACGTCGTACAGAGAGTCTGCATCCGGAAGCTGAACGATCTGAAGCTGGCGCCGCTGGAACTTGGCCGATACAACCGGGTCGTCGACGTATGCAAAGTCGAGCAGCAGGTCGGCTGTGCGCAAAAAGGGCTCGGCTTCGTGGCAGAAGCGGTCGACGACGCAGTAGAGCGCGTCGAGCGTCGTGCAGTGCGCTCTCGTGAGCGCCGAGCCCGCGCCCATGTCTTGAAAGGGACACGTCGGCACGAACGCATTGGTGTCCAACGCGCCGACGCAGACATGGGTGTGATCCAGTCTCTCCGCGCGCATTGAAGGAGGACAGGGACGCAAGCTTGTTGTCGGCGGCAGCATCGCGTCTTGAAGCGACGCAAACGCGTCATCGTCGACCGCCACGGTCGTCAAATTGCAGCCATCGCATTGGCTACACGCAGCATCAGCTTCGGTTCAATAGCACAGCAACTACAGTCGCAAGAAGGGACGCGACGCCGACCCCGCCGCAAAGAGGGTCGCGAGGTCCGTGTTGTTGCTTAGTATCCTACGCAATGTGAGAAGAAAGTTGAGACAAGAAGCGGGCTACAGCGTGCTGGCGTTCTGGAAGCTTCGAAGCCGCACCAGTTTGAGCAGGTTGCTCGAGAGATCACTAGAAAGTGGCTCAGAGGACATATTGTCATGCGTCCATACATTGTGTCCGCGTTCGGAACGCGCTCAAAGCGCGTGAGGAAATTCCGCTTGGCCGAGCTACAATGCCGAGATCAACCTCGATATCAAAGGACGATGGGACTGCAAGATGCCTACAAGTAGGTGAGTTGGTTGCTCGTTGGAAACGTCACGTTGAGGAGCGAGTGCAGTCCACAGTCGTCGAGAACCAACTGCGACAGCGACGGTGGCAGTGACAGCACGGCGCCGTCCAACGCATTCTTGGTCATGTTGCTACTCGAATAATTTCGCACCGAGCAAGAGACACTAATCATGACGTACAGCACTTGCAGTCCGCTCGGCAATAGCACGCTATGGCGCAAGGTCGGGTTGCCGATGATGGACCTACAAAATTGAATGAGCTAAGCAATCGGGTCCGGGCGCGCACAGCTGCGTCGTGCGGGCGCTCGTGAGCGCAGCGGCGTCGGTGGCGAGACCAAACTGCCGCAAACCATTGCCACGAAATGAGCTACAAACGATCGAGTGAGAACTGCGATAGCACCGCCGAGATATGTACATGGCGTCGACGTTGGATGGCAGCGAGTGCACGAGCTCGATTTGGTCGGTGACCACGACAACGGCGCCGGCGCCAAAGGCGTAGCTCAGGCTCTGCACGCAGTGGCGGTCGAGGAGGCAGCAGTCGGTGCTGTTTGCACACGCGGAGCACGTAAAGGTCGAGTCGTACGCGGCGAAGCGGCAGGCCATCGTCACGCAGCCGTCGTCGTCTCTGCGGCCGACCAGACCAAAAAACGGCAAAGTGACGCGCGCCTGATCCTGATAACATTGGGCGGCACCAAAAAACACATGGCGATCCGCGAGAATATACCGTAAATTTGGTAAATTTGCACATTTGCCCATTTCGCGACCGTGCGAAATACGATGGCGTGCGCGTTCCGCAGCTTTGCCGCCACGTTTACCTGCGGCGCGCTCTACTGTGGCGACGACCACGCCTGCTGCATTGTGGATCGCAACTGCACTGTGGGCACTCGGTACTCGCCTTTGTCGCCGCTGGTCATCACGGACCCTATCACTCTGGTGCACACGCTCCCACCGATCGATAGCATGTAAGTACGCTACGGCGTGGCCGTGGTCTCATGGCAGCGTAGAACGTTTCGTGGCAATGGCCTCCGACAACTGGGCCTCGTCGGCGACCAAGACAAGCTTCAGCGGGCGACTGTTCGCGCCTTGTACTTTCTTTTTTGTACGAGGCGAAGATAGAAAAGCTGCGTAGGACACTTGTCGACAACCCGACTCTCGGGTCCATGGTCTATCTTCCAACGTCCCTCGAAGCACTGTCAGTGTAGCAAAATCATTGGTTTGAACAGCGGACGAAAATGTCATCGTTAGAACGCTCACAAACGACCCACGACCTCGCCGCAACGACACACTGCCGACTGAGTATGCGTGGCCACCGACGCTAACGAGCTTGTACGCGGTTTCTACGAGGTGCACGCGCTGAAAAAATGCGATTGTCAGGCGTGTGACCGGGACGTTGCTACCGACGGACGCGCCGCTACCACCGAGCCTCGGCATCTTGTACGACAACTTGTTCATGTTCAATCATGCTCACGACGGACTAGCGACTGCACCGCGTGTGGCTGGTCATCAATTCCCGCCGCCTATCCGTGGCCGGCAAATCTCACCGAAATGTTGTACCTCTCATCGCTCTTTCAAGTCACCAACTGTGTGTAGCCACCTGCGTGCCAACCACCTCGAAGGCTTCTCGACACGCCAGCGATGGCCCCTGACTCTTCAGATTCTGTAGTGTCTCTGGACGTTAGCTCCTCCTCACCGGAACCGCACAGGGATGTCTCGCTCAACGAGATTGCGAGTTTGGACGGCCTTCCCACACAGCTCGCAACACTGTTCGTGCTCACCGACGTCATCATCACGATCCACTTCCATCAATCTAGCAACGTGAGCGGCAACCGCCTCTCAACAATCACGATCGGCACTTCGTACTGGGCCACGACCATGTATACCACCCACTACGTCGTTGTCAAATGACTGATCAACTAGGGACTTTTCAAATAATGCACGTCTGCAACACCTCACGTGCACAAGCCCGCAGGCAGCGACGGCCTTTACGACGCTGTAAAACCCAACATGATGACCGTCCTAAACGAGACGCGTAGGAACGTTGAGGGCTGCCCTCTCGCGCCCCTTCACGTCGATAGAGACTGCAAGACAAAGCTGCAGACCGGCCTCGTGCTCGGCAGCACGGACGCAGCGACGACGCGCTGCGAGTACAAACTCGTGCCTTACGACGGCGCGCACCTCTCGCGTGGGTTTCAGCTCTGTCTCTTACCTGGTGCGTTCGACGTATTCTCAACAGCCTCCATGATACCGACACGGTAGGCACCTACTCGGAAAGGACGTGGCGAGTCATCGTGTTTGTCGAGTCCCTCCTTACCGTCGTCTTCGGCACCATATTGATCGTCGCGCGCTGCTACCCGCGGTGTGTCCGGAAGCGGCCACCCCCCACGCCCCCCCCGCTCGTGGTGAACGAGCCAATGGACGACGACCCCCGCCTCGTGCCGCTGCGCGCGTACCGGGTCGACGCTGCGCACCTGCGCATCGATGAGATGCGTCCGCTGGGGCGCGGCGCCCACGGCCTCGTCGTCTACGGCCAGTACAAGCGCCGGCACATCGCTGTGAAGCGCGTGCGCGCGGATATGGCGTCGCCCGAGATCCTCCACGCGTTTGTGCAAGAGGTGGCGCTCAATGCCATGTGTGTCCTGCGTTCAACACCGCTTTGTCTCATCGTTGTTGTCATGCGTAGCTTGCACAGCCCGTATATCGTCGACTTTGTCGGCGTCTACTGGTCGCCCAAGGTCGGCCTCCCGTCGCTGGCGTGCCTCGTCGAGTACATGGCGCTCGGGGACTTGCGCGCGTGCTTGCAGACGCCACAGACACCGACGTGGAAGCTTGGCGTGGCACACGACGTTGCCCACGCGCTGTATTATTTGCACAAGAATGGGGTCGTGCACCGGGATTTGAAGTCGCGAAATGTGCTCCTTGGCGTCGAGGGCGGCGCCAAGGTCGGCGACATGGGCGTCGCGCGCCGCGTGTTTGTCGATGAGAGCGACGACACGCTCACCAATGCTGTCGGCACGTACCGCTGGACAGCGCCCGAGGTGCTCCGGGGCACGAGCTACGACACCAAAGCCGACATGTACTCGTTTGGCATGGTACATGCTCTCATCGTTGGCTTTTTGTGATCTTTTGCGCCATGTAGATTCTCACCGAGCTCGACTCGTATGCGCTGCCGTACGAGCACGTCCGCAACGAGCGCGGCCAGCCGCTTGGCAACATCTCGCTCCTCTTCAAGGTAGTCCGGTCGTTGTAGCAAGAGAAAGAACCTGTGGTATAGGTCATGGAAGGGACGATTACTCCGACATTCACACCCACGTGCGCACCGTGGCTGCGCGACCTGGCGACCGCATGCAGTGCACATGACCCAAGCGCGCGACCATCGGCGGCTGATGTTCTCTTGGTGCTGGCGCGCCTCGCACCGATCAAGGTCCCGTCCGAGCACCTCCACGGGGTGCAGCGCCTGTAGCGACGTTAGATGTCGATCTGTGTTGCTCTTTGACAGAAGTATATGGTTCAATCGGTGTGGAGCAGCTCGTTGTGACAGAGGCATCGCTGGCGCTCGTGCATCGCAGAACGGTGGAGCGACGCTGTCGCCGTCTTTCCTCAAAACGTTGGTTCCCTGCCTTGTGGGTGGCGCGTACGTCATCGATGGTTGTCGCTCCAGCGTCAAAAGACGCGACGCACTGTGGGCAACGGCGTTGCACGTGAACGTTCTGGTATCGTCGATCGAACGCAGGAGGTCACTGCAGGAGGTCACTTGCACACGTGGTGAACAACCCTTTGTGGATCTGATGTAGGCATCATTTGGCGCAGCTGCCAGTACGACCATGCACGGCTAACTCGTCCTGGCACCAAGTCCGATACGAGCAGCGCCTTGACGCGACGACGACACTTGAAGTCCTCGTAGCTCGCTGCGGCTGCTGCTTTCTAGCACACGTCCACGCACGTCGCTACCAGTACAGCACTTGTCTGTTCACAGCGGCGCTGTGCAGCTCGTGGCGCATGCTCGTAATCAACCTTCCGCGAGTGGGAGGGTGGTCAAAAATACCGTCGCGATTCCAAAAACACGGTACATTTATCAGATACAAGCGTCCCGGCTACGCACATGTCGCAGATCCAAACGGCAATGTCAAATGCCGACAAGAACGCGGCGAAGGGAAGCGGCGCGTCTGCTGACCTTGCAGCGAACAAGAGAACGTGAGTGTATCAGTGGCGACAGGCCATTCGTAGGGACCGGCGGACACCACGTGCGCCTCAGTGCGTCCACGGACAGTAATGGGTCCCTTCAACAACTCAGATGCGCTTGAAGACGGTCGTGGCAACTCGTCAATTGACCTCGTGATGCCGTCTCTCCCCAGCAATCTGGCGTGCATCTTTGCGGGCTTTGCGTCGACGTTCACGTGCGACCGCCGCTTTTGCCCTACCGACAACTGCTGCCTCGTGGACGACGCCTGTCGACTGCTGCAGACGTACCCGTCGCCACCGACGTTCGTCAACGCTACGATCGAGCTGCTGCACTCGCTGCCTCCCGTCGCCAGCGTGTAGACCGCGCGGTGTGATATTGTGTTCGACTACGTTCTTGTAGGACCTTTCATGGCAATGGCCTGCGCCAAATCGGCTTGGCTACCGACGCTGCGGCGATGACGTCGAGTCCCACGACGTCCATGTACTCGACGTTTCAACTCGCAACCAGCTCACGCATTCTGTAGGTGGGTGCGTGCGAACCCGCAGGTGAACGGGACAGTGCTGCTGCCCGCAACCATGACCGACGTGTACGTCAGATGCGCGACTCGTTCCATTCTCAGTCGCAACAGGTATTTTGCCGACTTGACGGACGATCCCCACCGGTCGTTTGTGTGGCCCAAAGCGCTGCGCTCCCTGTATGTTTCATAGTCTTTTCGATATTGCATCGGTTGAGTCTGCGAGTAGGTCGATGGACGACGCAGCGTTCGCCGTCGACACGCCGCTGCCAGCCTCGCTCGAGAGCTTGTAGGGCCACCCCTATCGTATGGCGTCTCACTTTGTCGGTGTAGTCACTGCAGCAACTGCGGCTGGTCGCGTGTCCGGCATTCGTACGAATGGCCCCCCGCCCTAAAGCACCTGTGCGCCGTGGTGCTGACATCGTAGACGCTCATTATGGCGTAGGACCCTACGTCGCAACCGCATGCAGTCGTTCACAGCCAAGCACTCGTGGCCATCGACGCTGCAGACACTGTAGACTATGATGCATTCCATCCATTCACTTATCGCAACGGCGTGCACTAGGGACGTGTCGAGCAACCTCATTGAGCTCTTCGAGGGCCTTCCCGTTGTCAAGTCACTGTACGTTCTACAATCTATAGTGGACAAGGTGTAGACTCGAACCAACTAGCAACATGCGTCAGAACCGCTTGCGCTCGATTCACCTCTCGGTCCACATGTGGGCCGACAACTTGTACGAGTAGACAAGTTACATTATCGCACAGGGCTCATCCAAACGCTAGGGACTTTTCAAGCAACCCGTACCTTGAATCTGTTCAATGTGCGCAACTGCCGCACCCATTTTCGTTCTTGTACGTACACTCTGGTTTTTGAGTTCATAGTAGTAAACACTATGTAACTGCAGAAACTTGACCAACTCGTCGTACGCGACGCTGTCGCTCGACAAGAGCTGCGTCAAGGCGCTGGGATTGGCGGCCGACAAGTCTGCAGCCGAGTTTGTCGTTGTCCCCAAAAGCTATCTCAATGGAAAGCCGTCGTGTCCGTTTGGGTGCTCGGCGTCGCTGACGGTCACCATCGACGCCGAGCCAAGCGCCATTGCCGTCTGCAACATGACAGGTTTGCATGTTTCGATGGTCACCGGAATGCCCACACTGCTCCGTAGATGTCCTGACGACGCAGCTCTGGATCGGTATCTATATTGCGGAAAGCGTCCTCGTCGTGCTCGCCATCGTCGTCTTCGCGCTTCGACTCACTCGGTCGTTTTGCTTTGCATTGACAACGACCAACACGAGCACCCACGACGGTATCGAGCTCGAATTCATCCCAGCGCTACTCTCCGACGACGAGATTCGCCGCCTGTTGCCACTCGAGCCCTACCGGCTGCGTGCGCCACTGACACTGTATCCCCGGTCGATCCTGGGGCGCGGTGCGACCTCTGACGTTGTCCTTGGGTCGTACCACGCGCAGTATGTGGCCGTCAAGCAGATTCGCCGCGATCTTGTCTCGTCCGAGATGGTCTGCGCCTTTGTCGACGAGATCCGCCTCATGGCGCGGTACCATTCTATCGCACTCTCGGTGCCCAACTCATGTACGGGCTCCTAGGTTTTCATGCCCGTATCTGGTCAGTTTTGTGGGCGTCCAATGGTCGACGTTCTTGCATCTGCAGTGCGTCGTCGAACACATGGCGCACGGCGATCTGCGCTCGTACTTGGAAACACACCGTACACTGCCGGCCGACGCGCAATGGCGCATGGCGCTGGCCGTAGCGCAAGCACTCGTGTACCTCCACGCGCATAGCGTCGTGCACCGGGATGTGAAGTCACGAAATGTCCTCCTCGGCGAGAATCTGCAAGCCAAAGTCGCCGACTTTGGTGTCGCGCGCCGCGTGGCCAGCAAAGACGACGAAGTCATGACGAGTGCCGTCGGAACGTTCCGCTGGACGGCGCCCGAGGTGCTTCAAGGCGCCCGCTACGACACGAAAGCGGACATTTACTCGTTTGGCATGGTACGTGCAATGCCACAAGGTAGCGCAGGAGGAAACGCTTTCATGATGCAGGTGCTCACGGAGCTCGACTCGCGCAAAGTACCGTATGCGGATGTTCGCAATGGCCGCGGCCAAGCCATGGGCAGCTTTACGCTTCTCTACCACGTACGTCCGAGTCGTTGTTCGACAACAGCTTAGAAGGTTGTGTGTTTGTAGGTGATGCGAGGCGAGATGCAGCCATCCTTCTCATCCGCGTGTCCCGAGTGGCTAAAGGACGTGGCACTGCGCTGCGTGGCGCTCAATCCGGACAAGCGTCCCACGGCGCGCGAGGTCGTCCAGGCTCTTGAGGACGCCAATATCTTTACCATTTTGAACGACGATGATGACGCGGACACATCGAGTGAAAGCTCGATCGCGCACTAAGCCAACAACCTATTTACAGTGCTGCAGTACTATGATGCATGGTGGGAGAACGTTATGGTGAATTCTCGTGCTGCCACGTCATTTTGGAACATGACGTGGCACCGTCTCGGCGAAGCAGACTGCATACGGCAATTGGCCGTATCTTTGGCAGTTGCAGCAGTGGATCTTGTTCATTGTGACCGTTCGATGCCGTCGCTCAAGGTACTCGTCGTTGGCCCCAAGGAAGGAGGCAAGACTGCGGTAGCTACGCTAGACAAACTATGTACATACTCTTGGGACGTGCATAGATCGCCAACTTTCTCGCCGAGGGCACGGACCGACTGGGGAACCAAGAGCGGTACCAGCCCACGATTGGCGTCCGGTGCGTCATTCATACATCTTTCCAAGTGGTTGATACCCAAGAACGTAGTATTCTTGAGTGTGAGAAGAACCTGGGGCGCGGCCAAGTGAGCTTGGAGTTTTGGGACTGCTCGGGCGATCAAATGTAGCACGTGCCGAATCTGGCGCTGGTATCTGACGCGCTTTGGTAGCTACGAAGCGTGCTGGCCTGCCATTCTGAAGGATGCGCACGCAACGCTGCTCGTGTACAACCCCGAGAGCCACGTCCACGAGAGCGAAGTGACCTTGTGGTATCCTCGCTGCGTCGCCCGCGCCAAATAAGAGCTTGTTTAGGTACGAGTGGTTTGTGCAGAACGCAGGCCTGGACCCGAGCCAGTGCCTCGTCTTTGCACATTCGCCCAACAAGACGGGCGGCCGCGGGAAAGTGAGCCTCCCGCCGACGCTCAAGACGGTGCAGACCAACTACGAGACCGCGACGGTGCTCAAGTCGGAATTTGACGCGTTCCTTCTCACGGTCCAGGACGCCGTGCAGCGACAGCAGCGCAGTCGCAAATAAGCTCGGAAGCGCCCTCCGATACAAATAATCCGGTTCGTTTCATGTAAACTTTGCCGCGATCCAAACGCTCGGCAGTGGATCGATGACGAAATTGTACATACGATTTGTAGTTACCAGCAGCATTCACGAAGGTTTGGCAGTCTGTGGTTGGTCGACTCGACTGTTGAAGACTGTGGTGGCATGAGACAGACGCAGTTGCTGCTGTCCGCTAGTCGCCACGCGTTCGTTGGCGAGCAAACCTCCTGGCCTTCTACACGATTACGTTATGAGCTCTGAGCTACCCGATGTTCTCGAGGATTTGCACGGCTACGACTACTCGGTCAGCCGTCGCGCGTTGTCCGCCCTAGCCCTAGCTCAACTCGATCATTCGACACTAGACTGTGCAATGCAAGGCTTTGAAAGTTAGCACAACGGGGCCTACAGCGAATGTCGCACCAGACGCGATGGCTACACAAGCGGGCGCTTTTGGTACATAGGTGTCGTAAACTCGGTGTGCATGGCTTTGGCTTTGGTTGGGCTGAGGCTAAACGGCTTTCGCGACGGCCGCCGGGGCTCGCTCGCGTGCTCCTCCTTGCGGGCGCGACCGAATCGATGCGCCGCAAACGCCACAAGTACCAGAACGGCGACCGCGGCTGCGATGATGAACGCAATCGCTGTCGTGCTCAAGGCCGGGCCACTGGCGCCGGTGATGCCCGCATCTTGTTCGTGGACGACGACCACGCCGTTGGCAAACTCGGTGGTTTGGACAGCGCCAATGCTGGTGACGCTGTGGAGCGCCGCCGTGGTTTGCAGCATCTTGAGCAGCGGCGCATCCGTGCTATTGGTCGCAATGAGCGTGTAGAGATCGCTGTTGAGATCGCTTTTGGCGGCCAAATGCAGTTGGAGCCCTGCCGTCTGCGGTGACTCGCTTGCGAGGCTCAGCAGCACGACAGATGCATTCCAGTGAGCACTCAAACGCGTAGTGAGCGCCGAGAGCTGGTAGGTACTCATGTACGCCAACGCGTACCCGCCGAGATGGAGCTTGACGTCGACGTAGTTGAGCCATGCGTTGGGCGCCCGACACTGATCGGCGCCTCCGGCACTCGTTTGCCCCGGGGCACAGGGCGTGCAGGACGAGGTCGCACCGCCGACGCATTGCGTATTGGCGTCGCACGAGCATGGAATGCATTTGGTCGACCCGCCATTCGAGAAGTACCCCGGGGCACACAAGGTGCAGTTGGCGTTGGATGCTGACGCCGGTGGCGTCGAGTCGCCCACTTCACACGCGGCCGCGGTGCACTGCGCGGCGCCGCCGGCCGAAACAAGGCCCGCAGCGCAGGGAAAGCACTGTCCGTCAACCACGTCAGCGCCCTACAAACAATACCGCCCGTGAGAGCCTTGCACATTGCGTGATAGTCTACCTTGGGGGAGCTGTAGCCAGGCGCGCACGCCGTCTTGGCACAGAGCGTGGCCCCGCCGGGTGAGAAGTAGCCGGCGTCGCACACACCACAGGTCGAGTCTGTATGTGCCGCACCCGCTTGGGTCGCGCCGGTGCCCCGGGAGCAGGTCATGGGCGCGCAGTCGAACCCTGCGCCAGGCGAAAAGTACCCGAGTTTGCATTCGTAGCACTGCTCGGTCGCCGACGACGCGCCGGGTGGCGATCCGTACCCCGGGCTGCACGCGGTCACCGCGCACGTGGCATTGCCTCCGGCGCTGAACTTGCCAGCGACACATTTCGTGCACGAGCCATTCACCGAGGTTGCGCCGATTTGGGACGCAAACCCCGGGGCGCACGTCGTCGGTCCCAGGCAGGGGCTCGTGCCGCCGACGGAATACCTTCCGACAGCGCACGCTGTGCAGTTGGCCACCGGGTCCGAGGCCCCGGAAGGCGACGACGAGCCGGGCGGGCACTGCGTCGGGCGACACTCTGTCGAGCCACCGACACTGTAGGTGCCCTGCGGACACGTGTTGCACTGAAGCACGGGGTCTGTCGCGTTCGCTGCGGATGCTGTGCCCGGGGCACACGTTGTTGGTCGTGCCGGCGCTGCGCCCCCAGAGCAAAAGTGACCAGCCGGACACATCGTACAATTGCCAATGGCGTCGGTCGCGCCAGCAGCTGCCCAGCTTCCGGGAGCACACGTCGTTGGCGCGCATTGGTGCGACGCGCCCACGCTGAAGGTTCCGTTGCTACAGAGCGTACACGTCGCATCGATATCCGAAGCGCCCGTCGAGTGGGATGCGAATCCTGGCTTGCAGCTCATATCGGCGCACGAACTCGTTGAGCCGTTGCTATAGAGACCTACGCCACAGGCGATACACTGGTCGGTGGCGGTCGTCGCGCCTACATGTTACTCAGTACGACCCAAACGAAGCCATTCAAGTCGTACCTGGTGCCGCCGCCGTGCCTGGTGCGCACGTGCACGGCGCACAATTCGCCGACCCGCCGGCGCTAAACCAGCCAGTAGGGCACGTACTGCACTGTGCGACGGGATCGAAGGCGGCGGCCGGCGCCGCTTGGCCAGGAGCACACGTTGTTTCGAGGCATACACTGCTGTTGCCGCGGCCAAACGTGCCTTGGGGGCACACCTTGCAGTCCGCCACGCCATCACTGGCGCCGAGAGGCAGTGCGTAACCCGGTGCACAGAGCCCGGGAGCGCACTGGGTGCCACCCCCAGCGCTAAAGAAGCCGTGGACGCACTCTTCGCACATGCCTTGCGAGAGGTGCGCGCCGGGGGCCGCCGACGCGGTGCCCGGTGGGCACAACGTCGCTGCGCACGGGTGGTTGAAGCCAATACTAAACGTTCCCGGCGCACAAATCGAGCAGTTGGCAGTGGCGTCCGACGCGCCGAGAGCTGCACCGGATCCTTGGGGGCACGCGGTGGGCTTGCAATGCGCGTCGCCGCCTTGTGCGTACGTTCCAAGCGGGCACAGCTCGCACTGCGACGTCGGCGACGTCGCGCCCTCGGGGGCAAACGTACCGGGCGCACAAGCCGCCGGGGTGCACACGCCAGCGCCGCCCATCGAGTACGTGCCAACTGGGCACCCCGTGCATTCTGTTGCCGACGCCGCCTTGGCGTCGGCTGCCCAGCCAGGAAGGCACGTCGCCGGTTTGCACGTGGTGTCGCCTACTCGCCGCATACGTCCGTTGGCTGTCAAACCGTCAACGATCGTAGTAGTTGTACCTGCGGCTGCGTAGTAGCCGCGCTCGCAAGCAACGCAGAGCGAGGCGCCACCGTGGGAGATGTGACCAGCAGGACACGTGCCGCACTGATCACTAGCACTGGCGTTGGCGACGCCGGTCGTACCGGGCGCACACTTCATATCGACGCATCGCGACGCATTGCCCGCTGAAAACTGTCCGAGGGCGCAGGTTGTACACGTAGACGTCGGGTCGGCGGCCTTGACATTGGACGACGCGGTGCCCGGCGCGCAGGCCATGGCCGAACACGCCATGCTCGCCCCGAGGCTGTACATGCCAGCGCCGCACGCCAAGCAGTCGGTCGGGTCGTTGGAGCCAGCGACCATACCATACCTACGCCAAACCGCCTTGATGCAAGAGGAGGGGGGGCCGCGCGACGCACCCTGGGGGGCATGTGGCTGGGTTGCAGATGGACTGCCCGCCGCTGCTAAAGTACCCCGACGGGCACACGGCGCAGTCGGTGGCGTTGACCGCGCCAGCCGACGCCGCAAACCCTGGCGCACACTGCACCGGCTTGCACGTTGAGTTGCCCCCCGCGCCGTAGAGGCCTTGGATGCACTGGACGCAGCTGGACGTGGTCGTGTCAACGCCGTAGCCCGCGTCGCACGAGAGTGCCACCGACGTCAGCGCGCAGTGGCTCAGCGCCGCAACGTACACGAGGAGCCGCATAAGCGATCGAGGGTTCAAATGCGAGGATGAGAGCTAAAGAACAACAAGACGCGCGCGTATCTTGGCGGCGTTTCCGCTTCTGGCCAATCCCAAGGCGCGTAGAACAACAGCGTCGTATCCATGACGTGGCGCGCTGTGGAGACATTCAACGCGAGCCAATACATGATGCTTTGAGCCTTCATAATTCTAGACACACCTGTACTTGGCCACTGAAATGATCGCAGCGTTGTGGCTCCGCGCATAGAGCGTGGACTGGCATGTTATCGCACCGTGGCGGACGACACTTACATGCGTGCTAATGGGAGGGTGACAGCGCTGCACATGACAAGCGAAAGACGTAGCGTTGACGCATAGAGTAAGAGCCTGCTCTCTCGACCGGATGGACACGATGAAGTATGAGTCCCCCACTGCTGTTGTACGAGATGCTGGAGTATACCGAGTGACACCGTTGTGAGCCAAGAGCCAAGAGACACGCAGGTGAAATAGGACGATTAGGTTAAGATGGATTTAGTTGGATGCCGACTACGGACGCTCTTCCTTGTGTGTCGGGAGCGTCGACGACGACGATGGCGTCTCGAGCGAGTCTTGCGACTTGAGCTGGCGACTGCTGTTGGAGCAAATCGAGTCGGTCGACGTCGGGTCAAACCCTTGCTCGAGCAACTCGCGGCGCTTCTCTTCCGAGCGCTTGCCGCGGATCTTCTTGACAATGGCTTGCGCGTCGCCCTCCTTGAGCGAGTCGAGGCCCTTGCGCTGCTGCTTGGAGGACGCCAGCGCCTCCATGCGCTTGCGCGTTTCGGCTTCGCGCCGCACGCGCTTCTCTTCGGCGATACGCTTGCGCTCATTGTCGCGGTCGGCGGCCGCCAGCATTTGCCCAAAGCTCACAAAGATCGAGAAGAACGAGTCCGGACCACACCCTGCCGCGTCCGGGTCTTCGCCAAACCACTGCACACACTCGTTGAACGTCTTCATCATGGCTTCAAATTCTTCCACGACCTTGGCCGACGTCGCGACCGACTTCTCCGCAAACTAGACACATATAAGAACTTGTAGTAGCATCGACACCATCCACGTACCGGTGCAATGGCGTCCTGAAACTTGTCGTTCTCGGCAATCGACGGCAGCTTGGCGTGCAGTTCGAGCTCCGAGACGACCGTCGACGACGCCTTCTTGATCGCAGCCTCGCCCGCCTTGAGCACTTGCAGCGTCACGCGACTCGCTTCGTTGAGCGCCTCGAGCTGGTCCGTAAACGTGAGCCACTCGGGGTTCTTCTTGCGCAGCACGATCGCCAGGTAGTTGAGGAGCGTCATCGAGTTGTCGGCCGCCTTGACTTGCACGAGCTTGAGCAAAATGCTCAGCTTGAAGCCCTGCGCGCCGCCTGGATGCATACACCATGACAATCCATTCTGCAAAGCACAAGGTGCCACGTACCGCGCGGGGTGCCTTCGTTGAGCGTGTTGCCGAGTGCGAGGACAAGCTTGAGGATCTCGGGAATCGCTGCGTTGGCCTTGAGCGCCGCGCACGTCGCGTTGACACTTTCGATGAGCCGCCGTTGCTCCTAGCACGGCCCAGTCAGCAACTTGGTCCTTCCAGAGGCGCGCGATACCTCGACGTTGGCGTCAAACTGCCACGTCGCGAGCACGGCCTGGAGCCGGGTCGCGTACCGGGGCACCGATGAAATCTCCAAGTAGTACTGTTCGGCGTCGCCCAAGAGCTTGACTTCGCCCGTGTACGCCTTGACCGTCTCGAGCTCTTCGCCTTCGGGCGCAAACTGGATGAGCGCCGCAATCTTTTCGGTCGTGAGCACGTCGCGATCAATCTCGAGTACGGCGCGCTTGATCTCGGGGTACGGCAGCCGGAAGCGGGCGAGCATGATGCCTACAGGGTGATTGTCATACGGTGCGAGTCGCGACAACACACGCACCGAGGTTGTTGGCGCGCTTGGCGTCAATGAGCGCGACACGCGTCGCGACCTTCTTCTTGGCGGCCGGCTTTTTCTTTTCCTTGTCGACCGCCGGCGGCGCCGACGCGAACAGCGTCGTGAGCGAGTCGAGCTCCTTCTGGTGCTCGTCCGAGAGCCTAGTGCGCCCGACACATTGAGAATGACAAACGATACAAATAAGAATCCGTACTCGATCTTGGACCAGAGCGACGTCTCGGTGGGCGCGGCCATTGGCTCCCAGTACAAGTTGCGGAGCTTGGGCTTGGCCTTGACCTTGGCGACAAACTTGACCACGTTGACCGCCACGTTGGCGCTCAGCGGCTTGGCCACCGGCACGACGGCGTCGGGTGTTGCCAAGAGAGCCGGGTTGAGGCCCTCGGCTTGCATCTTGAGCTCGATTTGCGGCAGCGGCATGCCCATGGCCTTGAGCTTGAGGTACTTGGCGTAGTCGGGGTGGTCCTTGACGAGGACGTCGGCGGGCGGCGCGGGCGCCTCCTCTTCCTTCTCCGGGATCAGCTTGTCCGGCGTCGCGAGTAGCGACGTGTCGAGGTTCTCAGCCTTCATCTTGAGCTCAATCTGCGGCGGCGGCATGCCCATCTTCTGCAGCTTGAAGAACTTGGCATACTTGGGATGATCCTTGACCGCCAGCATCACTGGCTGCGCAGGCGCAGCAGGTGCCTCTTCGTCCTTCTCAGGAATCATCTTGTCGGGAGTCGAGAGCAAGGTCACGTCACAGCCTTCCGCCTTCATCTTGAGCTCAATCTGCGGCGGCGGCATGCCCATCTTCTGCAGCTTGAAGAACTTGGCGTACTTGGGATGATCTTTGACCGCGATCAAGACAGGACCCGCCGGCACCGGCTCGTCCTTCTCTGGGATCATCTTGTCGGGTGTCGACAGCAACGAGACATCGCAGCCTTCCGCCTTCATCTTGAGCTCGATTTGGGGTGGCGGCATGCCCATCTTCATGAGCTTGAAGAACTTGGCGTACTTGGGGTGATCCTTGACCGCAACCATGTCCGGGCCAGCCGGTGCCGGCGCCTCTTCTTCCTTCTCCGGGATCATCTTGTCGGG